TGCAAAACACGACACCACAGTAATAGACTGTTGTGGCTGGTTGCCAGGGAGTTGCTATGTTGTTGCAGCTCCAAGCTATCAATTATCTTCCTATCTAAACTATCCCACTGCATAACCATTACATGTGTTGGCTTGAGACTGGTGTGATGGAAAAGCATATTAGTGGTGGATTTAAGTATTTCCATCTACCGGATAAGAATACTGTATGTCTACCTTAATATGTAGTGATATTCTCCATGTCCCAGACTTTGGTGTTCAATGCTGAACACTAAACCAAAACTTAACACTTTAAGCAAACAGTAGAGCACTGTTTCCCTTTTTATGCATTAAACAGGCATTCGAATGACACTACATACCCCCTTCCATCCAAGGGACACAATTATAGATGTTTTTTCTAAGAATGAGAACAGCCGACTCTATTTTCCCAGCTGTGGAGCAGTCCAGAAGAGAGCACTTTTTCTTTTTTGGCTTTTTTTTTTTTTTGAGAATGGTACCCCTGAGTTGCAGTGAGCGTGTCCAGCTCCATTTGCAGAGTTCTTTGAAGAGCATAACAAGAACTATTACTGCGTCATGGCACCGACCTCATTCTGTGAGCGTCTACTCACGCTAACCCTGCATGATTATTCAAGAACAGAGCCAAAACAATAGTCAAATAGAAATACTTATTAATTTATACTCCTTCAAAAATACTCTGTAGAACATGTGACTAACCTTCAAAACAATCTATCTATCTATCTATCTATCTATCTATCTATCTATCTATCTATCTATCTATCTATCTATCTATCTATCTATCTATCTATCTATCTATCTATCTATCTATCTATCTATCTATCTATCTATCTATCTGACACTTTATTAGGTACACCTTACTAGTACCTGGTTGGACCCTTTTTTCCCTTCAGAACTGCCTAAATCCTTCATGGCATAGATTAAACAAAGTATTGGAAATATTCCTCAGAGATTTTTGTCTATATTGAAATGACAGAATTATGTAGTTGCTGCAGATTTGTCGGCTGCACATCCATGATGCGGATCTCCTATTCCACTATTCCCAAAGGTGCTCTATTGGAATAAGAGATCTGGTGACTGTGGAGGCCATTTGAGCACAGTGAACTCATTGTCACGTTCAAGAAAAGAGTCTGAGATGATTCGTGCTTTATGACATGGTGTGTTATCTTGCTGGAAGTAGCCATCAGAAGATAGGTACACTGTGGTCATAAAGGGATGGGCATGGTCAGAAACATTAATCAGGTGGGCTGTGGCGTTGACAGGATGCTCAATTGGTACGAATTAGCTCAAAGTGTGCAGTGAAAATATCCCTCACACCATTACACCACCACCACCAGCCTAAACCGTTGATACAAGGCGGGATGGAGCCATGCTTTACTGTTGTTGATGCCAAATACTGACTCTACCGTCCAAATGTCGCAGCAGAAATCGAGACTCAGACCAGGCAACATTTTTTTTTCTATTTATCTTCTATTGTCCAATTTTAGTGAACCTGAACGAATTGTAGCCTTGGTGTGGTCTTCTGCTGCTGTAGTCCATCTGCCTCAAGGTTGAACATGTTGTGCGTTCAGAGATGCTCTTTTGCAGACCTCAGTTGAGTGGTTATTTGAGTTGCTGTTGGCTTTCTATCAGCTTGAACCAGTCTGACCATTCTTGTCTGACCTCTGGCGTCAACAAGGCATTTGTGCCACAGAAATGCCACTCACTGGATATTTTCTCTTTTTCTGCCCATTCTCTGTAAACCCTAGATAAGGTTGTGTGTGAAAATCCAAGTAGATCAGCAGTTTCTGTACTACTTAGACCAGCCCGTCTGGCACCAACAACCATGCCACATTCAAAGTCACACCTGCCATGTGATGGGCTGTTTAGTAATGTGCATTAATGAGCTGTTTGACAGGGGTACCTACAAAATACTGTAATAAATTACAAAAATCTAATTATTTTCTACATATTTTTGTCATCAACATACACACACACACACACACACACACACACACACACACACACACAAACAGACGCATGAATGCACGCCTGTTAAGAACCGTTTATTAGTACTTATAAGGTATGAGCTGATTCTAAACTTTACTAACTTAAATCAATAAGCAGCTAATTAGTAGTTTAAGTGCTGTCACCTTACAGGAAGAAGGTTGTTGGTTCGAGCCTCAGCTGGGTCAGTTGGCGTTTCTGTGTGGAGTTTGCATGTTCTCCCCGCATTCGCGTGGGTTTCCTCCGGGTGCTCCGGTTTCCCCCACAGTTCAAAACATGCGCTAGAGGTGAATTGGTAGGCTTAACTGTCCATAGCGTATTAGTGTGAATGTGTGTGGCTGTGGGTTGCAGCTGGAAGAGCATCTGCTGCGTAAAACATATGCTGGATAAGTTGGAGGTTCATTCTGCTGTGGCGACTACAAATTAATACAGAGACTAAGCAGAAAAGAAAATAAATGAAAGAATAATTACTAGTTTATTGAGCTAAAAGTCTTGGTTTGTTAATAGCCTGAATTTGTCAAATAAAATGTGACCATTTAAAGGTATATTCTGTCATATACCGACAAGCAATGAAGAATCTTCTTAGCTTGATCCTTTGAGAAAGTTTGATGCGCTACGACAATATACTCCAAAACCTCCCTAGTCCACATCAACCATAGAAATTAAGCAGCAAAAACAGCATGTTCTGTCTCCCTGACCTTTCAGTCTGATCTTAACAGTTTGTGCAACACATTTCTGCATGGATTGTTTTGTGATCCTGTCACAAATTGTAATAAAGACTTTAAAAATGTGTTACAAAAACATGGGCAGTTAAAAGCAGCATTGCACCCAACAACAAACCTGAATTTTCTGGTGTAAGCACAACAAAGGCTGTTGCTCATTTCACATGTGCAAAGGGTGTGATTACAAAGAGTTAGAGATTACAGAAAGTCTTAAAGGCATAGCAACAACAAAAAGTAGGGATCGAAGCATAATATTTGGCAAACATTATAAGATTGCCAATGGCAAAAATTAAATACTTAAACTTTCTAAAAATTACCCCTTTAATAGCTTCCCCCATTGTCACCTCTTGAAAAGCATGCTTCTTTAGCTGTTAACTGCTTTTACTTCTAGTGGCCATGCTCTTGGTTTACTGTGGATTATTTCAACCCCTTTCACTGACTTCTCATCTATCCTTTTCTCTTTCTCCCTTCCTCCCTCTGTGCCTCAGCATTCCAATCATAGTGATGAGGGAGCTAGACTTGAACCTCTCGCTCTCTCTCTCTCCTCCTGCACTGCAGACTTCTATGAGAGCCTGTTCTAATGAAAATGTATTGTTGTCTTTCCCAATCACTGTTTGTTTATAAGTTCTCACATTCCTTTCGTTTTACTGCAGTCTTTGAGGGGGAAAAACATGCTGTAGCACTCATAATTACCACCGTCAGTCTGCAAACACTTAAAGCCTGCTTTCTCTTTTAGCACTAATTTGTCACGCCCTGAAAATAAATGTCTCTTATGAACAGCTATATCTGCATGCGAAGTTCATGCAGAAAAAAGTACTGGGAATCCTGGGGGAAAACATGCCACAACACTGTGAAAGATAGACTGTATAGGTAGAGGTGGATTTACCAATAAGCGAGGTAATCAGCTGCTTAGGGTCCCAGGAAATATATGGGCCACCAATAAGTAGCTATAAATAGATTATTCTATAAATAATATATAACCCAGTTTTCTATCATATTTTCTATAGGGAGGGTCTAACAAATAAAAATGTAATGTTCTTTTTAGACATTTTTAAAATTAATTTAAAATGTATAGATTATATTAGGATAAAAATGTAGACAGATAGATAGAGTGATTCCTAAGCCACTATAAATACCCTAAGTTCCAAATAACAGCCATCGTCGTTTTGAAAAACTTGCCATTCCACCCCTACTCCTCCTCCTTTCCTAGATGGTTGGCATGGTGGCCCAGTGGTTAGCACTGTTGCCACACAGCAAGAATGTCACTGGTTCTAGTCCTTCCAATAGAGCACCTTTGGGATGTGGTGGAACAGGAGATCCGTATGATAGATGTGCAGCTGACAAATCTGCAGCAACTGCATGATGCTATCATGTCAATATGGACCAAAATCTCTGAGGAATATTTCCAGTACTTTGTTTAATCTATGCCACGAAGCATTAAGGCAATTCTGAAAGGAAAAGAAAAAGTTACTAGTAAGGTGTACCTAATAAGGTGTACCTTATTAATAAAATAATAACTGTACGGTGTTTTGGTAATGAAAAAAAAAAACAATCAAAATAAAAAACCCTGTTAATTTAAAAATAAATGTTGTTTCAGAATCTCAAGTAACTCCACATGACTGTTGGTAATCCCTTTTTTAAAAATGTCAAATTAAATTAGCTTTTTTAACAGAGTTTTGCAGACAGTTGCGGTAATGAGATTTTTTTAATGAATTTTTTGGAAACTATGCTCAAAAAAGGTACTGAATTATATGTATATATGTTTAAATTAATGTTGACAAATGTTCCAGACTTTGTTTCAATTATCTGGAAAAAAAAAATGGTTAATTTAAACATTTTTAAAATGAATGTTTGAAAATGTTTAAACTAAATTTTCGTGGGAATCACCCACATAGGCTTGCTTCACACATACATGCATACATACATACATGGAATAGCTTGACCCAAAAATCACTACATCCACCCTTGTGTATAGGAATAAATACATATAGATTAATTCACTTTGTTGAGTCAAATTTTTATAAACAAAATATTTTTGCACAGGTTTGGTGAGGGGGGAAAAGAATCTTCTCAGTACAACATTTAACTTCCTCTAAATTTTTATTATTATTATTATTATTATTATTATTATTATTATTATTATTATTATTATTATTATCATTATTGCTATTATTAATATTTGGTGCTTTAGCTTCATGTTAGAATCAGCTTCAGTTTGCACACTATACTTATGTACTAGTATGTCAGTGTGTCAGTATGTCAGTGTATCATCCAATGCCAGCGTGTGTCAGACAAGAGCAAAGAAACATCTTATGGTCATTCATGTTTTATATATTGCAGAAACTGAAGTTAAAAATACACTTGGACAAAAAAAATAGAAGCAAACATGGTAAAAAGGAGATCAGATGAGGTAGAGTCTGTGATTGACCAGTAGGGGGCCTCGGCTCCTTGCTGTGTCTTCCTCAGTCTCCTCCCCCCAGAGTGTGGGAGTAAGAGTAAGTCGTTCCCTTCTGCACTAGTGAAGCCATGCAGTGGGCGGCAGCTTTCCCATGAGGACAAACAGAGATAGGCTCCTTAAGACACTCCCCTGTCTGGGAGTGGAGCAGCCAGCCCTTAGTCCCGCCCACCATGCTGTGGAGGAGGAGGAACGCGGCGGTGCCCGAGCTGATCCTTTCAATCTTCCCCACAGTGTGGAGCAGCCGGCAGCGCGCACACACACACACTCACTCACACACTCTCACACAAGCACACACACTCACACTCACTCTCGCACACACACTCTCGCGCGCGCAACAAAGCAAGCAGACGAGGGAGGCGGGTAATAAAGAAAAGAACATCACAGAGGAACAACAGCATTGTTACACCTGGACTTTTTACGGATACTGCAGTCTGCCTGGAGTTTGTGCCGTTTCCTGTGTGCTTCACAACATCTCAGCTCACGTCTGGTTCTTCCTGTGGAGGGTTTGAGTCCCATCAGCTGTGCGTGCAGAGATCCAGATCCGACGACTGTCTACATTGCTGCTTTGTGCATCTGCCAGACGGGAACAAAGTGTGCGACTGGGATATCTGACAAGCTCCTCTGGGAACCGACGCTGCACCGACTGTCATAGAGAGAGAGAGAGAGAGAGAGAGAGAGAGGGAGGAATAGAAAGAAGGAGCAAGATAGATAGAAAGAGAGATAGTCAAAGTCAGGGCATGAGCAGGAGACTAGAAGCCGGTTTTCCGGAGAAGTGATCGCCACAGTGCCCCCTCCTCTTCCCTCACCTCCTTCCTTCCTTCTCTCCTCTCTCCTGTGCCGCTGCTCCTTCTCTCTTCGTGCACACCTCCGCTGCTATCCCATCCTCGTACCTCCGCTCTCCTTCCATCACCTCCTCCTCCCCTGCTCCCAAAGACGGTGAGAAGAGGAGAGGCACGGTGCACGCACGCTCGCCTGTGTCCATATCATCTCATTCTCTCTCTCCATCATTCCTCTGGCTCCGTCCCTTACACGGATCTAGCCTCTAGCTGCAGAACCACAAGCGGAGGCTTTTTGAGTTGTTGGATCCCCGCTCGCGAGTCTCTGTATCCAGCCACAGCCAGAAGGATTCCAGCTACATGGGCAAACGCTTGGAACAGCAACCAATGTACCCCCAGTACACTTACTATTACCCTCACTACCTTCAGACTAAGGTAAGAAACGTTGTTAATCCGGTTTTGTGATGTTCTGATTCTCTGCCTCTCACACTTCCCAGCATGCACACCATTCTGACAGATTTTTGACACATTAACCACATGACCAATACTTGACATGGGCCGCTCTCAGGAGGTGCAAGAGTGCCCGTTTATCAAGGCTGCATGCACACAATCTCACGATGCTGGGATTCTGTCCTCTCAGCTGTGTAGCTTGTGGTGGTGGGGGGACTTGAATAATTGCATCCATCTCTCTAAGCCCCTACACCACCCGGACGTGGAGAATTGATTACCATGAGCTGATCGATAGGGCCGAGATGCTATCGAGGGCACTGGTGATCTCGGCTTCCCTCTGTGATTCATGAATGTTTTTATGCGGCGCACCCCATAAGAGGCTGGCACTTGCATTACATGTTTGAGTGAATGAAAGTGTAGGAAGAGCTACGATTTTGATCAGATTGGACAAAAGAAATGGCTGTCGGAACAAAAGGCATAAAGATGCATGCTCCTAATTAATCTGGGGTGGGCAAATTAAGAAGTGCAAAGGATGTATGTGAGGGATGAAAATTGATGGAAAGTCTTTTGGAGGAGTTGCTTGCTCAACGTTGGCCAAATATGCAAGCGTTCCCAAAAGACACATGATATAAGGCAGTGGCCAAGTCGCTCTCCATCAGCAAGTGTTTACGACCTCTCTCGTTCCCTCCTTCTACCCCTGAGTTACATTCCCAGAATTTCCAAAGCAATTGGTCAATTTCAACCTTCAAAATCTCAGAAGAGCTTATAGAAACAACTTGATTGATGCCTTTCATCACTAGGCTATAAATGATACTGGCAACAGGCACCGTTTACCCATCAATACACACACACGCACACACTCCCCACTCCTTCTAGCTGCCTTCAAGGTCATGTCAAATTGGATCTTACCCACTTCCGTTGTCTAATGAGTTTCTCAAGAGAGTCTCCAAGGAATGGGGGGGCTCGTCCAGAGTATCACATCTTTGTCCTTCTCTCTCATCACAAACATAAACTTACAACAATAACTCGCCGCACTAAACAGGGCCTGTCAAAGAGAATGCATGCACATTCAAAAGGTTCAGATTTGCACAAAGTATGCTGGTAAAGCTCTATGGCAAACACTGAAGCATCATGGGTAACGGTCAAATGGGCCAGTCTGGGAATAATTATTGATCTGCAGATTATTAAAGGAGATGGAGGAGGTTTTTTGGCACTGAAACAGAGTTTCAGATTTCAGATATTCGGTCTTGCCTGTGAAGGATGGGGACCTCATGTGAGCACGGGTCAGCGTGAGTGCGATTGCGTGTGTGTGTGTGATTGGGGATGTAAATGGCCTGTTATTAATCTTGATTCTAGCGTGCTCTCTGAGTGGAGGCATTCCTCCGGGGGAAATCAATCATGAGGGGGAAGAGGGGCAACTGACACACAATCACTGCCCTCGCTCTCTCTCCCTCTCCCTCTCTGCCCCAATAATGCTCAGCGCTCAATGAGAGGCAAATGTTAAGCAGGGGAAATTATGATGCCACAGTAAGCCGTTAATGTCGAAAATCAGTAATTTGGTTAAATTATATAAAGACCCTGGTATCAATTACATGTAAATGACTTACTTTCACTGAAGTCGGTTCAAAAGAAAATTAAACTCGGCTCGGAAATGCATCCATTCTTTTATTACGTGGGTCACGGATATCACAGAACATGAAATTACAAGCAAACAATTGTTGGTACACACGCTGAACAGATTGAAAATGCTTATATCTGTTTGATTCTACCTAACTTTAAAGTCCTGCATATCTTTTGGAGTTTTACATTTTAGTTATAAAAGTCATATGTTTAATCATACTTGCTTAAAGTCAAATTGAAACTGCAATTATTCATCCTCTCCACAATTCAAATTCAAGAATAACCCAAATCAACTGATGTGTAATGTCCCAAATCCTCTCAATAGTCCCCTCATGTGGATTGAGTACTGATCTTACTGATTAAGTATGGATGGATGTACAAACATGAGTATGTGGGCTGAGGTATCCTTGACAGCAGTCATACACCATAGGGATATAAGATAGAATTTAAGCAAGGTAATTCCCTCCTGGTATTGTGTCAACAGAGGCCAGTGGGGCCCTGTCTTCCATTCAATCAACGGCTAGAAGTCAGGGCTTTACGGTGTGTGCGCATTGATGTTTCGAAAGAAGGGAAAGAGGAAGAGAGCCTGACTGAGCGCTCAAATCCAGAGCCATGAGATTGCGTATGCGAGCAAATGTGTGTGTGTGTGTGTGTGTGGTGTTCGGTTACACTCTGTGGGGTCAGCTTTATGTACAGCAGAAATAACATCCAGTCTGCCGTTTAAACCTCTCCTCTCTGTGGGAGTGCATGCTAACTGCCCTGCAGTGAGGTGACATGTGGCTTGCCAGCAACATTGCTGGTGCATTATGGGTATGGTGCATATATGTGGCTCATTATATTTCCGCTGCTCTCAATGTCATTTAGGATTATTACATTGTGATATTTACTCCGCTTGTGGATAATTGCCAGACTGATGCTTAATTTTCCTCTAGCGGCACCTATTTTTTATTTCAACACATTGGTGAAAATGCTCTCATCTCCCGTCCTCCAAACAACCTTCAGCTGAATAATTAAACTCGTTAATGGACAGGCAATTTTCAGGTATCAACGACAATTTGATTTTCAATATTCATTACCAACACTGTCATTAAACAGGTGAAAGGATATATTAAAAACCCCAAGTACACGCAGCCGATTCACACACAAAGGACTCAAATTGAAAGATTTAGGTCTATAATATAGTTTGGTTGTTATTTTTTAAAATGATTGAACAGCCCATCAGATATTGTTGGAGGACAAAGACTGGCTCCTAATCACTTGTCCTGTCCAGCGTTCTCCCTCTGAGAGTACAATACCATTACATGTAATCATATTATGTGATGTTAGGCTATAATACAGTTTTTTTTTTTTTTAAATCTAATATTTGGTTGCTTTGTGCTCTGAATGTATTTATATCTCTTGCTGTGTTAGTTTTTTTCTTCAGAGTTTCTGTTGGAAGCGAGCCATAATGACATAAAGTACGCAGAAACATGAACTTACAAGAGTGCAGGCTTTGTATGCGTTTGTGAATTATACATGTAAACACTTTCATCAGGAAAACCTGCAGTGTAAAATACTTGCTGCAAGTGTCTGCCTGTAGCCGTCGAGTTGGGGATCTGTGAAGAGTGCTAAATTATGCTTGCCTCTGTTTAATTTTTCGGGTAGAATCTGAATGACAAATCTAAACCAAAAACCAGCAACAATTGAGATCATTTCTAGAAATTTCTGTCTTTGTGGTTGAAATCAAATTTATTATTATGAAATGTTAGTATTAAATGTACACATTTTAAGCAGAAATTTATCATTAATTTTCCTTTGGCTTAGGCCCTTTATTTATTGCCACAACGGAATGAACTGCCAACTATTCCATCATGTTTTACGCAGAGGATGCCCTTTCAGCTGCCAGGCAGTACTGGGAAATACCCATCCATGCTCACATTCATACACATATGTAAGCCCACCGGTCCTACACCACCCAACCCACACTGAGCTGGAATCGAACTGGCAACATTCCACATGGAAGTCGGTTGCTCTACCAAGGAGGCTAAAGACTATGGCCTCTAGCGTCTGTCAGTAGAGTACCCTTTTATTTTAGAGGTCAGAGGAGTGAGGTTTAACTGCACAGCACTTCACTAGCTGGCCTCTGTTACATTCACCCCCCTAAACCTTATTCCCATCTGGATTACGAAGTCAATTGAATCCTGCTGTTCCTACACCAACCAACCCGTTCTTAGCTGAGATCGAACCGGCACCCTTCCTCATGGGAGTCAGTTGCTCTACCAGGGAGGCTAAAGCTGATGGCCCCTAGCGTCTGTCACTATACCACCTTTTAGAGGTCAGGAGTGAGGTTTACCTGCCAAAACTTCACAAGCTGGCCTCCCTAAACCTCACTTCCATCCGGGTCACGGCACCAATGAAACCCTGCTGGTCCAACACCACCATCCGCTCCGAGCTAGGAACATATCAGCAATCTTCCTCATGGGAGTCGGTTGCTCTATGAAGGAGGCTAAAGACCATGATCTCTAGTGTCTGTCGCTAAACCACCTTTTAGAGGTCAGAGGTGTGAGGTTTAGCTGCACAGCACTTCACTAGCTAGCCTCTGCTACACCTCACCCCCCTAAACCTCACTCCCATCCGAGTCACGGCACCAACATAACTCCGCTGGTCCTACACCAACCAACCCGCTCTAAACTGGGATTAAACCGGCAACCTTCCTCATGGGAGTCAGTTGCTTTACCAAGGAGGCTAAAGACCATGGCCTGTCACTAGAGCACCTTTTAGAGGTCAGAGGAGTGAGGTACACCTACACAAAACTTCACTAACTGGACTCTGCTACACTTACCCCCTGAACCTCACTCCCATCCGGGTCACGGCACCAATGTAACCCCGCTGGTCCTACACAACCCAACCTGCCTCAAGCTAGGATCGAACCGACAACCTTCCGCATGGGAGGAAGCACAATTTAGTTTATTCAATTCACCTATAACGCACTGTGGGGGAAACCGTATGAAACCCACATGAATACAGGGAGAACATGCAAATTCCACACAGAAATGCCAAATGACCCAGCCAGGGCTCGAACCAGTCATCTTCTTGCTGTGAAGCGACTGTGCTAACCACTGAGCCACTGTGCCACCCTTTAACAGTATCTTTAAAAGCGCAATTCCTTTCGCTTCCTTATTTTATTTAAAAAGCATTCCTGTTTAAAATGACAACCGGTAGAAGTTATAACCGAGCCACTCATTCACACAGAGATGCTACTCCATAATGTGATTTGATCTGTCTCAACTTGTAAATGTCTTTTCACTTGAGGTTTCTGTTTAATGCTGAACATCAGTACGTCGGGAGAAAAAAAAACTACTTTAAAATGCATGCTTTCAAACTAA